GTGGGGCCAACCACCGATAACGGCCAAACCGCAAACAGTTCTCCTCTTTGAACTGGCCATTTTGAAAACAGCGCAACCTTAAGAAGTTGAATCTCACCAAGATCGCAGCCTAGATCCGCACTTGGCCGTTCCTAGCGCATTCTGGGAAAGGCTGAAGGTATTAGGGCTATCGGCTGGTCGGAGCCGAGCGGCCCACGTTGAAGCTGAAGGCTCAAATTGATATGTGACGCCTGAGCAGCATGAGGAGGCCGGACTGATACGAAGTGGGCCCGCCGGCACAGAATGGCCCATTGTGTGACTTGAGACGCGAAGACGCCATGGAGCGCTCCCACGCGGCTCGCCGGGAGTCAGTTGCGTCTAAGCAGTCTATGATTGCAGAGGCCCCCGTATACATACGCCCCTTTCCGTGCCGTGGTTGCACGAGCTAGCAAGGCTACTGCAACGAAGAATAATCGCCGCCGATACGGATAACTTTTTAACGGAACGAATGAATTCAAATGACTCTTGAACCATGTTTTGTGTTGCTTAACGGTCGCATGAAGTGTGATGGCATCCACATATCATTCCCTTCGAACCGGTAAATCGGTTTTATTTAAGATGAGGGGTGTGTGATATGTTCGCAGATGCGTCGCGAGCCGAGGGAGCCGGATGACGCACCGGGGCACACCAATCAATCAGAATGACGAGCTGCGCGCTCTGGTCGGCGGGGTCTTCCGTTTAACTGTCCAAGCGTTAATCCATATAAGGTAAGTCTCTCAATACCGTCCCGTTATTGCGTCCAAAAACACATGAAATCGCACATCGCCTCAGCAATGTTGACATACGCGCACACTCAGCTAAGCCCGCCCTCACGACGTCGTTAACTCTCGCTCGACAAGGGGGGGGAAGGGGGGAGGGGGGCTGACGGCTCCATGAAGTTTCACTTCAACGACTCGGCGGCCATTAAATGTATATTGTTGGCGTCTTTGAGCGCGATTCTGTCTTTGACATATTCAAGCCTTCCTGTCCAGGTAAGAATATCCTCTGAACAGGTTCTTTTCACAGGCTCGTGAAGGCCATGTCGGTCCTGGTTCTCGCCAAATCGACAATACAGTTCAAATTTGGCCAAGCTCTTTGTTTGTTTATCACTTTAATTCTTGTGCCGGCAGTTGTTACATCTTGAGATAAAGGGCAAGGACACCCGGTGCCAAGCTAGATGAAACATGCCACCTTGCTCTTTTAGGTGGCAACGATGGCACATACTCTGGCAAAAATATTACATTACGATCCACCACATTCGCATGATTTTTGTGACTTATGATGAATTTGGGTTACGCTCCCGCTGCAACAGAGAAACCTAGAACAGGAAAGCACTTACAGGCGAGTTTACGCCAGACATGGTGACGCAGAAAGTTTGCGCAGGTGGCTGCATTCGCGATGGTTCAATTTTTTGACTCGCTTCGCTTTTGGATAATTTCATGCGAGGGACCATGCCCTTCCAAAAGTTAAGCCAGTGCGTGGCCCTGCTTTACTAATGTCTGCATGTTTTATATGAGCTACCTTGTCATGGCCTCTTATTCCAATTGTAATATGTGCCCAGCACAGGTCGAGCGTGCTCGTTCAACCCTGGTCTTCATTTCATAATATATGAAGTAGAATTGCGATTGTAATACATGGTAGGACTCTGCGACCTCTTTTGACTTTGCACACCCTCTTGCACACTAGTTCGCCTGATGATGACAATGAATAATGATGATATATCGGTCTTAGACGAAAAGTTAGTTGGGGCTTCTGTCACGACTTCCCCTGTCATGAGCATAAGTAAGAAAAGCCCGCCTGACCAGGGTTTAAATGCATATCAGTTTTGAGCAGTTTACCACACAGCCACTTGTGCTACACTTGCGGTCTTTTTGACCGGTTTGCTTCGAACATTTTAACTGGGAAAAGAACGAACTATTTACGAAGGCGGCACGACCGATTTCCGTCACGAAAATTTAGCGGATAGCGGTGAACAGATTACTTTCAAAAGGGCACGGCACGTTCTAATGGCTTAAAAATATTAGGCCGACGCCTCCTGCAACAAATGCATTATGTTGGAGAGAATGAAAGGATTTATGGAAATGAATGGAAATGTATTGACCATTTTCTTTCGTTGACGACGAAGGCCGGGTCCGCCAAAGTACTGGGGCCCCGTTAAAGAGTCGAGATGACACCGATTCGGATTTGCGTCGGTGGACGTCTGATCATAATGCAAACGACCAGCAACGACTCCCAGCTCAGCCTGGAATGTATGTACGGCCTAAAAAGTGACGCAGTTGTCCTCTTAGATCCCTAGGAAAATGTTTACACCTCTGCGATGATGCGCACGGATTGTACATGACAGGAGACATTTGCACCTATTTTCTTCGCCTTTATGATTTCAGCATGTTGCAATACACCAGAAGCACCCTGCGGAGACTATCAAGTAACAGACGATTTAAAAATGAATGAAACATTGCAGCATAACGTGTAGCAGCGCGTACCTAACCATGACTGCGTTGTAATGCCCATATGAGTCGGTGTATCTCGTGGCGGCTGGCTGTGGGGACTGATCACGAAAAAACACGCTATGCGGTTATTAAAAGCTGTGACTAATCAACATAAAGTTAACAGACACAATGCTAAAGCTCATCCAACGCAGGTGACTGAATGTGTGTTGTCAGGGAGGATCGGATGACACCCAGTCGCCGGCAAAGCACCAAACATTTTGTGTGTGTGTGTGTGTGTGTGTGTGTGTGTGTGTGTGTGTGTGTGTGTGTGTGTGTGTGTGTGTGTGTGTGTGTGTGTGTGGGTGTGTGTGTGTGTGTGTGTGTGTGTGTGTGGTGTGTTGTGTGTGTGTGTGTGTGGTGCGTGTGTGCGTGTGTGTGAAAAGATGGCACAGCTCATGATGCCGATTGCTGGTCTGGTAAAGCATATTTCCAAATTCCGCGTGTTGGGAAAAGCCATGACTGAGCTCCAAAATACTGTGTCACGTTGTTACTATCGGCCGCTTAAAGAGTGCTCCAAGTTTATACCGGGTTTTGAACTGAAATAGCCATCTTAAAGACATTTCGGTGTTGTGCGCAATCATCCCCTTTTAAAGACCCAGGCCCCACTCGTTTCTGAGCTACACACCCGCGAAAATGGGGAAAGGTATACTCGGTAGAATATTTTAGTCACCCTGGCATTCATGCCGTCATAATAACGCTCTTCAAATCCGGCAACTCCATAAGCCATGCGACGATCGAGGCCAATCAAACATAATTTTTTTTCGAGTCGAGGCGTTCTCATCTGGCGTTCGTGAGTGCGATTTCCAGATATAACGGCCGTCAATTGGCTCTCGATCAATGTCGCGCTAGGTATGATGATGTAATCAAACCATGACGCATTGAGGAGCATGTTTAGTAAACAATAGCTTGTGCGATCTAGAACAGTCTTTTCCACTTGAAGAATATACCAATAGTTATAAGTGAGCTTGTTCCATCATATCTCATGCTTGCTTCAGTAGTATCTTTAAATTGGAAACATTCCTTCAAATGTGGGTCATAAGTCAATCAACGAAGTGGGACGCGAGGAAGGCGGAGAGCAGCGCACACTTAAAAGGAAGATACACACTGAGCAAGTGAGTTGGTACACTTAATTTGGGCGAGGTACCGGATGCCTTCGACATTCTAACCTCCGGGACGATCTGTTTTTGTCGTCAGGCTATAATTAGAGGCACTCGGTCATCTACTAGATACTGAAATGCCTAGGAACACAACGCATTGCCAGAAGCGAAACTTCTTCGCAGAAATGCTGGAGGTGCAAATATAACTTTGGGATCTCCTCGCACTCCCCATGACATACAGACAAGCCCAAAGCTGCTGGCAGACACACCAGTGGCCACACCCATTTCAAGCCCATGAGTCATATATGCGTCACCTAGGTGTGATCTTGCACTTGACTAGCGCACAAGACTATCAAATTATATGTAAGCTCGCAATTTCGTTACTGATTTTCGTTTTTAACGCCACATTTCAACGTGAGCTCCCTCCACAGCGCAGGCACGGCTGGGGTTCACAGTAAATCAGCTCAAGATGTTTTACTTCAAGGCACAAGTTTTCACATATTTAACATGCCATACAATATCTGTTCAATATTTAGGAGAGCATATATTTTAAATTAGCATGATTCTGATCAATATCTTGACTACCGTGCTAGTCCATAAACATGTGAAAGGTTCCATGCTCCGGTGCGCAATGCGCCAACACAATTGTTTAAAAAATGCATCAAAAGAAGAAGAAAACATGCTTTCATGAATAAACGATTTGCCGTGCTGACTTCTATTTGTAACATTTGGGAGAGTGCCGTTGTTTTCGATCTGGTACTAATTTCTGCAGACAGTGGCGTCATTATTCATAATATTGGCCGCTGTCCTTTCTAATCAGCGTCATGGACCCAACGTCAATCCTTTGAGGTGCTGGGATGCATCTGCATCGCCATTGACAGTTAGGTTACGCCCACCACGCACACTGCTTACATTTGCATTCATCTGCAGCCCTGCACATGTTATCTGTTTAAATCTCTACACGGAAATGAGAAGCCGTACTAACAGTGTGCCAAACGGAATGCATTATTTATACGACAGTACGCTCTTGGCAGACACGCTGGGAGCTAAATTTAGAACCGCTGCGCGTGTCGCGGCCAACGAGCCCGCCTCGTGTGGACTCGTCCACAGCAGGGGCGAGCCCTCGTTGACGGTAGTGTCGTCGCAACATCCCGTAAGACGATAAAAGGTCAGTCATGCCCAAATAGATCCCAAGAACGATTAAACATTGTTGAATCCGTGATTTGAAGTCCTCCATTCATGAAACGTGCAAGGTTGACAGCAAAGTTGCAGAGGTCCAAATATAAGCTGACCATGAAAGCGGTTGTCGAGCCCCACGCGCATCGAGAGCACCATCCGTGCCGAAGCACACGCAGCAGTCGCCGACGCCACATCGCGACCTCCGCACGTGCCTTACCCCCGATGGGCGCGGCGAAGCTGCAGGCCACGCCGACGGCGCAGGCCGCCGCCAGCATCTCGCTATTACGACTCTCGTTCTCGTAGATGCCCTTGAAGGACGTCACCAGCTTGGTCAGCAGTGTGGCCACGATGCTGGCGATGTGGACGAACGGGCCCTGCGGCAGGCGTGGCCGTCAGGGGCCGTATTGATCCCGGCGTGCATCATCTCTGCCTACCGCGTCACGATGACGTACTGTCCGGCAGCGCCGCCGCCGCCAACACCAGCCGGCATCGGAGGCGTTACGCCGTGTTTTTACAGCGCTGATGGGGCGTCACATCGCAGTGAAGGCGTGGCGATGAGTTGAGGTCAAGGTCGATCGGCGCTACGTCATCGTTACGAGAGGCCGGCCGCTGCAGTGGTCCGATAATTGGCATCGACCGGGATGCGTCTGGTACGCCGACGGCAGCACCCCGCGATAGCATCGTCGCCCGGTGCCCGCTAACCGCTTATATAATGACACACCGCTCACAGATGAATGCAGAATAAAAATGTCACGCGTCGCTATATTGCATGTGCCGTTCGATTTAGTGCGTTGCTCAGCTTGTGCGTGCACGGCCGTGAGCGAGCTGATAAGAATTATTCAATTGTGAACAAAAACACCTCTGAACTGGCTTGCGCATGTGCGCGTAATTACGACAACAGATTTAGGAAAGACTGCGTATCGCGCGATATCAGTGCATTTAACCAAGCGCACACGGCATCAATACCATGTCTGCGCTCAGCCATGCCTCGACAGAGCTTTTGTGCCGACGAACCAGCTACCACCTTAATTTTGAACCCTTACGTGCAGTGCAATATCGAAAACTAGTTTGAATTCTTCCCCGAGACTTAAGCATACTTTTCAAATAGTTCGTTCAACATTCGTCTGTCGAGCGCCATAACCGCGCATTACATAATACGGAGTGGGCCTGCAACGGCTTAAGTGATCCGGCCGGCACACGCTGCCGCCAGACGTCCGCCGCCACGGCCCCGGAAGTGGACCGGGCGGCCCAGCGCGGGTCTGCAGCGGTCGCCAGCCTCACCTCCTTGCCCAGCGGGATGCCGGAGCCGAGGCAGGCGGTGAGGCCGACCACCTTGGCCACCAGCGTGCGGAACGTCAGGTACTCATCCAGTGGCACGCCGCGCAGGATCGTCTTCATCTCGGGAATGCCGGAGCCTGCCGGCGATCGACAGTCAGGGCGCCTGCAACCCCTCCCCCCCCCCGCTCCCCGCCCCATTCTGCGTCCCTGCAGACGAGCAGCACGCGCCGGCGACAGATAAACATCGGCGGCGGCGGTTGCACAATTGGCTGTAACGGGATCACGGAGCTCGGCCACAGCCGTCGCCGTTTGTGTAAATTGCGGACGTTCGACCGCGCTCTTATTTGTCCGCAGACGCCGAACTCTGATCTGGCAGCTGCTGCCTTCGGCGCCGGCGTGTGTCATCGTCTGGCGCTGCAGCGCACATCCACTCGACACGCGCGCCCACACCACATCCACGGACACGAACCCCGACGCGGTGTCACTGCGAGCCGCGGCGGCGGCAATTCCGCTCCCCGCCGGCCTGCTCCAGCCGCTGTACTGGGTCTGATACGTCACGGCGGTGCCAGGGATTAGCCGCCTCGTTAGGCCAACTTATGGCCGGCTCTTTGAAAGGAGACGGCGTTATGCATGGAACGACGGTGGGCTTAGTGGTGACGACGTGTCAGAGCGCGCCGCAGCAGCTGGTGTGAAGAGTGTCACTCGCTGAACGAGGAGTGTCACCTAGTAAACGGCGCAGGACGGGAAAGAGACACTCAAGAGCGGCAGAGAACTAGAGGAATGACGCTCGCTGAGCAGCAGAGGACAAGAGAAATGACGCTCAATGGACAGCGGAGGACGAAGGAAGAGGACTGCCTCCTGGACAGCGCAAGTCAAGAGGTATGTCCTTCAGAGGAGTAGAGGACTTGAAATTTTTTCCACTGAGCAGAAAAGAGCGTATGCTGGTATAGGGTGGTCTTCGAAACCTTGGTAATGTACAACAGAGCCGGTCTGATACACCACTGGCCGCGATGAATATCTACAGTCCGTTTACAATTTGATCATGCTTTAACTGGAATTGCAGGCATCGGGTTGAATCTCGGTATCGTTTTCACAATTACGAGCGACAGTAAAAGGCTAACTTCAACCGGGAGCGCTTGTGGCGAAATGTAACTGGACGCATCTGCATACCGACGTCGCAATAAATTGATGGCAGTTGGCACACCGCCGATGTCAGCGCCGCTCCATCACCAGCGGGTCTGCGGCAGGCCCACCCTCCCGACTCCGGTGCGACCAGCGGGTCCGCGGCAGGCCCACCCTCCCGACTCCGGTGCAACCAGCGGGTCTGCGGCAGGCCCACCCTCCCGACTCCGGTGTTACCATCGGGCCTGCGGCAGCCCCACCCTCCCGACTCCGGTGCGACCAGCGTGTCCGGGGCAGGTCCACCCTCCCGACTCCGTTGCGTGTCATCGAATACTGTCTGGTGACGTTTGGAGCGCGCCGCCCAGCCCCACATGACGCTCACCGACGGCCGATTTGGAGACGATGTGCACGAAGGCGGCGGAGAACAGGATCAGGCTGATGGGCAGCGTGACCCAGGCGATGTACTGCAGCACCGGGTGTGTCGTCAGGTCCCGGTACAGCCAGATGCGCGCTGCAACGCCGGGTCAGGTCATCTCGCGGCCCGCCGCCGACCTCATTACGTCAGGTCACAGCACAGGCCTCGGACGGCGGCCCACACACCGAATGTGGCCACGAGATGACAGGCACGCTGCCGACGTCAAAGGCATGGAACAACATCGTGGCGTTGACCAGAAGCACACCGCGGATTTGTAACGCGTGTGCATGCGGTTCCGAGGAAGACAGACCCCGGACACTCGGAAAATGTGTGTTAGTCGGCATACGTGCTGTATACAAGGGGCCAAAAACGCAAACGCGATTATAGAGATAATAAACATCATCCTGTTTATCCGTATCGCATCACCCACTGTCGATCAGCATATACGCCAGAACATGGGCACCTTGAAATGATATGGAACAGGCAGAGGTCGACGGATTTGTCAGTTTTATCGCGAATCAATGGTTGTCAGGCGTACCCACTGAAAATACGAACGTCGCTGTAATTTGGACACTACTGTGCCTTTTTTGACTTCCTTGAAAGAGCTCATTTTGGAGCTCTCTCTCACTGTGAGCATCGATTATCAACATCAAGCAGTACAGAAGGATGGTTTCGATTTTCATGATACGATATTACAAATTCATACTTTCCCAATTCTACTCTGATGTAACCGACTTCGTCGGTATTTGGACAATTTGTTTTCATTAGTATTCAGTGCCTTCTCCAATAGTGTCTTCTCTTCAGTCTTTTCAGTACTTTTTTCTATACCTGCTTCCAAAAGCGTCATGTGGTTGGTTCGAACTTTAGAGCATGATTGCAATAACAATTGGGCATATTTCACATGAATGGTTACAATTAAAACATGATGTCGGTAGTAAAATCCGCGTTCATTGAGATCAATGGCCCAGTAATGACTGCCTGGCCTCATCCCACCCCATGCAGCCAAATGTGCACGGTCCTTTGTTCGGCGATTGTCTTTTCCCGTACTTGCCATCTACCGCACACCCTTACGCCCAATTTCGTGGCCATTCTGGCGCCTTATGCTCAACGGCGCTAGTCGCTCTGTCCTCCTGTCAGCCTCGGTTTTCCAAATAGCTCCCCCGCTGCCGTCCGCCGCTGCCCCCGTCCTGCAGAAGACGCCACCGCCCCCCCCCCCCCCCCCCCCCCCCCCCCCCCCCCCCCCCCCCCCCCCCACTGCCGTCCCTCTCGCCCCCCCCCCCCGTCCGCAGACTACGTCATCGCCGTCCCTGCTGCCGTCCGCCCCTCCCCCCGTCCGCAGACGACGTCATCCGCCGTCCCTGCTGCCGTCCGCCCCTCCCCCCGTCCGCAGACGACGTCATCGCCGTCCCTGCTGCCGTCCGCCCCTCCCCCCCGTCCGCAGACGACGCCATCACCGTCCATGCTGCCGTCCGCCCCAGCCCCCGTCCGCAGACGACGCCATCGCCGTCCCTGCTGCCGTCCGCTCCAGCCTCCCTCCCCCGCCCCCCGTCTGTACATGACGCTATCGCCGTCCCTTCTGCCGTCCGCCCCAGCCCCCCCCCCCCCTCCGTCCGCAGACGACGCCATCGCCGTCCCTGCTGCCGTCAGCCCCAGCCCCCCCCCCCCCCCCCCCGTCTGCAAATAACGCCACCACCGTCCCCGCCGCCACGCAACGCACGCTGCAGCATCACACCGTCCAGCCGCAGTCTTACACGGACGGGTCCTGCGAACGGCTACCTCAACGGGTTATGTCATAAGAGGGGCCGACAACCCTGGTAATAAAAATGAAGCTTGCCCAAACCAATCAAAACGTCAGAGAAAATGCAACTTTCGGGTTGTCTTACTCACATGACCCGCCGTAAAACCACAACGAGTGATGTCATATTCGGAAGTACCGCTAAAAGCTCCGCCGTGTGTTCAAGCGCCACTATTCTCACATTGAAGCCCAAACTTGCACGCTTACTAGAGTTCAAATGGCGCGATCCTGGCAAAATACGTGATGTCGTACGAATCATGGGGAGATCGTAGTATCTGTATGCACATTAAAAATACATTTAGGTGTTCACATCGCCTACGGATCCCACCTACCGCCGACCGGCCACGGCCAGCGGACCCATCAGCCGGCCGTGGCCTCTGGTACGCTATCGATCAGCATCTGCAGAGGTCGGTCCGCCCGACTCGCCACGGCACGCCGGGGCCGGTGTGGAGGCGGCGCCACACGCGCTCCCCCACGGAGAAGAGCTCTCCTGTCGGCGGCCCAGCGCGCTGCCAATGGGAGCACCATCGCGGACCGGCGCGAGCTGCGTGTGGCGCGAGCTGCGTGAAGCCAGGTGGGAGCTCGCTGTTACCCGTGGGTTGCCCGTGAGCTGATGTCACCGCCGTCAGAGAGCGGATGAAGCCCCGTGCTCACGTGCCCCCGTACAGGCCGGTCTGGGACGCACTGGCCTGCCACCGACCGTTTCCGAGATCAGCGCTGGTGTGCCACGGCGTCCTCGAGACCACCGCTGGTCTGCCATCGACCGTCCCCAAGATCAGCGCTGGTGTGCCACCGCGTCCTCGAGACCACCGCTGGCCTGCCACAAACCGTTCCCGAGATCAGCGCTGGTGTGCCACCGCGTCCCCGAGATCAGCGCTGGTCTGCCGCCGCGTCCCCGAGATCAGCACTGGTCTGCCGCCGCGTCCCCGAGATCAGCACTGGTCTGCCGCCGCGTCCTCGGGTCCAGCGGAGCGTCACGGTGCGGCCGAGTTAGCTAACCGAACAATCGACCCGACACCAGGCCTTTCCGCACCGCCAGGCAACGGCAGCCGGGTTCTACGGCGGCGGAGGCCCGGACAGGGAATATCCGAATGCTGGTTGACATGTCAGCGGTGTTGGATAATCCCTGGACCCACGTATAACGCAGCTGTCGTCGCAACAGCGTGACTCACTGATGGCGACCATTGGTGCGTCAAGCAGTTTTATGAGCTTAATCCTTTTAGCAGCCTCTTACTCTTCATCTAATCGACGTGAAATATGACGACGCATTGCACCAGAAAAGTTGTGTTCGTTTTCTTCCGTCCTATATGGTCAATTTCAGATTTAATGCCGCTCGTTATTTGGGATAATTGTATTATGAGCCATCGTTTATAACTTTTAAATGATTTGTGAGCGAAGCAAAAATGGTAACTTGCGAAGTTTGCAAGATAATTGGATGACTGCTCCGAATTTGAACGGGTGTTGGACAGGCGTGCGAAGGTCACATGATATATGTAGTGGGCGTATGCGAGCGCAAAAGCATTCCTCACGCTACCACTTAGGGGCTGTAGCTGGTTGGTGCGCGTGCGCCTGCAGGCGGGAGGTCTCTGGTTCAAGCCTGCCCTCGGTATGCTTTTCGGCGCACCCGGGAGAAGGCAGCAACTGGGGTAAGATCACCATATTGTGAAAAGAGCACAGGGTCTTCAACTGATACTATGCACTAGGTTCGCGGGGCTTGTCTGTCTTCAAATGACCCGACCGGTTCGGTAACTTGACCCGAGGTCAAGGACGTACGCAAATAGTGACCCACAGGAACAAGTTCCGGATATAGAATTTATGGCACATATTTATGTAAGCGACCAAAGGTTCGCAGTTCTCTTTGACGACCTGCCGGAGAAATCGGGGCAGACACAACGTGGAACAAACGAGTATTCAAACGATGCTGTAGAGGATATACACTGCACAATGCCAGCACATCAGGAATTGGTCTCTCAAACAAACGTTACGTCACAGCGGTCGAGGGTCTCTGATGACATTTAACAGCACCGCAGCGACAACGGGGAAGCGGCGTCTTTGTAGCACGAGGATGGAACAAATTCCGATAGGCCAGGCAGCATTTGAGGTGCGTGGTCTCACAACAGCAGTTTGGGGTGCGGGACGCCTGGTCCGGTATCGACCGATTCGCCAGATTATGTTCTCAGTCGTTACCATTTGGTAAAAATTCACGCAGAAATCAATTGGCTTTACTCGTTTTTCGTGCTATGGAAGGTAATGTGCAAGCAAAAGAATCAGAAGCTGGAAAATCGCCCTGGCATGAAATATCGATTTATCCATGTTTGTTATCATGCGGGGTTTTCGACGCACTCAGCTGTTCAGACTTTGTGGCGGCGATTGCGTCTGACCCTGGAAGGGAGGGGGCACCACTGGGTATACAGCCCCGTGTAACTGGCTTTCCGAACGCGTAACTTAATTATCACACCATTGGTTCCTTATTTATTCACACTGCTTTATTTCCCGCGCGTATTTCATGAAATGTTTAATGAGCATTCATGACGCGATGTTCTAAGCTGCTAATCTCAGCCAAAAGTGTGTGTTGGGGGGGGGGGGGGGGAAGGGGGATCAGACGTAGGGTATGGGACATGGTGTCCAAGCTCCTCTCAGCTAACACTGACGAACTGTGACTGCATGACTGTGAGCACCTAACCAGGCCGCAATACACAACAACAAATAATTGTCCATCAATGCATGCATTAGGTGCTCCAAAATAAGGCGACAATTTCACGATCACTGAAAAGCAAAAACGTTGGAAGAAGCAGGAAGCGTATATAAATTACAAACTTTACAATTCTCGTGTACGCGTTACGCGCGGTGGTTGGGTCACTGACACATCAATGCCAGATGTCTGACAAGTAGGGTAGACACGTACTTTCCTTGGGATTCATTCAGCCCCATGCTTGGCAGTGAACCGCGGCAAGGGGCCACACATGACGGTGGACTCAGCAAACAACCGTCTTTTGTCCCTCTTAGTGCCTGTATTGGTAGGCGATGTGTGCTCACACGCCGTCTTTGGTGCAACCCAAAGAAAGAGGCCAGTTGTGCCAAGTCCGGGGTGTGTGGAGCCCGGGGGCCTCCGATGTGCCGAATAATCGGCCAATCCCGAAAAGGTTCTGCCGCCTGTCTGATTTCCCAGGGGCGCCTTATGGCGCGCTAGCATCTTTTTGGATCGCTCATATTGCAGACACTGTCCGTAAGCACTCACTTTTCTCGGGACGTTTTAAGGACTTACTCAAAACTTCACCGCCCAGCATCAGCCGCTTCTACC